GTGCCCGCGCTGTTTCACTATGGGTGGGCTGGTGGGGATACGCGAAGTGTCAAGAATTTCGTTTAAGTTAGCATTGAAATTATAGGCGCGAACAACAGAAACAGAAATTTAATCAGGTTAACATCATGCGCACGAATGTAATTACAACCTGCGAAAATCTTGTTCCGAACATGGAAATATACGAATCCAGATTGCATGCTGAAAAAATCGACCTCCGAACATGGAACTCACAGAAAGCATGTTAGCAAAATCGCAATCAGTTTGGAACCAAAACCATTGAAATTTAGAACCCACGGGCTACTTACGGGCTACTTACGGGCTACTTACGGGCTGCTTACGGGCTACTTACGGGCTACTTATAAGTTACTTATAAGTTACTTATAAGTAGGCCGTAAGTTCATAAGTTACTTATAACTAGCATAAGTACTTATAAGTACCCCCGCCGCGCGCAGAACTCCATTCCCGGGCCACATTTTGGATGCCCGGAGCCAACTGTAGGCCATTTCGTGGTCTTCGAGTTCCCAGAACTCCATTCCCGGGCCACATTTTGGATGCCCGGAGCCAACTGTAGGCCACTTCGTGGTCTTCGAGTTCCCAGAACTCCATTCCCGGGCCACATTTTGGATGCCCGGAGCCAACTGTAGGCCACTTCGTGGTCTTCGAGTTCCCAGAACTCCATTCCCGGGCCACATTTCGGATGCCCGGAGCCAACTGTGGGCCACTTCGTGCTCTTGGACTTCCCAGAACTCTATTCCTGGGTATGATTTTGAATGCCCGGAGCAAACTGTAGGCCACTTCGTGTTCTTCGAGTTCCCAGAACTCCATTCCGGGGCCACATTTTGAATGCCCGTAGCGAACTGTAGGCAACTTTGTGGTCTTCGAGTTCCCAGAATTCCATTCCCTGGCCACATTTTGAATGCTGAGGCAGGCTGATGCTGAGGCTGAGGCAGGCTGAGGCAGGCTGAGGCTGAGGCCGAAGCTGAAGGCAGACTCAGGCTGAGGCTGATGCAGGCTGAGGCGGAGGCTGAAGCAGGCTGAGGCTGATGCAGGCTGAGGCTGAGGCAGGCTGAGGCTGAGGCTGAGGCTGATGCAGGCTGAGGCTGAGGCAGGCTGAGACTGAAGCCGAGGCTGAAGGCAGATTGAGGCCGAGGCTGAAGCAGGCCGAGGCTGAGGCTGAGGCTGAGGCAGGCTGAGGCTGAGGCTGAGGCAGGCTGATGCTGAGGCAGGCTGAGGCTGAGGCTGATGCAGGCTGAGGCTGAGGCAGGCCGAGGCCGAGGCCGAGGCTGAAGGCAGACTGAGGCTGAGGCTGAAGCAGGCTGAGGCTGAGGCTGAGGCGGGCTGAGGCTGAGGCTGAGGCTGAGGCAGGCTGAGGCTGAGGCAGGCTGAGGCTGAGGCTGATGCAGGCTGAGGCAGAGGCAGGCTGATACTGAAGCCGAAGCTGAAGGCAGATTGAGGCTGAGGCTGAGGCAGAGGCAGGCTGAGGCTGCGGCTGAGGCAGGCTGATGCTGAGGCAGGCTGAGGCTGAGGCTGAGGCTGATGCAGGCCGAGGCTGAGGCAGCTGAGGCTGAGGCCGAGGCTGAAGGCAGACTGAGGCTGAGGCTGAAGCAGGCTGAGGCTGAGGCTGAGGCAGGCTGAGGCTGAGGCTGAGGCAGGCTCAGGCTGAGCCAGGCTGAGGCTGAGGCTGAGGCTGAAGCAGGCTGAGGCTGAGACTGAGGCCGAGGCCGAGGCCGAGGCTGAAGGCAGACTGATGCTGAGGCTGAAGCAGGCTGAGGCTGAGGCAGGCTGAGGCTGAGGCTGAGGCAGGCTGAGGCTGAGGCTGAGGCTGATGCAGGCTGAGGCTGAAGCAGGCCGAGGCTGAGTCCGAGGCTGAAGGCAGACTGAGGCTGAGGCTGAAGCAGGCTGAGGCTGAGGCTGAGGCTGAGGCTGAGGCTGAGGCTGGCTGATGCTGAGGCAGGCTGAGGCTGAGGCTGAGGCATGCTCAGGCTGAGGCAGGCTGAGGCTGAGGCCGAGGCTGAAGGCAGACTGAGGCTGAGGCTGAAGCAGGCTGAGGCTGAGGCTGAGGCAGGCTGAGGCTGAGGCTGAGGCAGGCTGATGCTGAGCCAGGCTGAGGCTGAGGCTGAGGCTCATGCAGGCTGAGGCTGAGGCCGAGGCCGAGGCTGAAGGCAGACTGAGGCTGAGGCTGAAGCAGGCTGAGGCTGAGGCTGAGGCAGGCTGAGGCTGAGGCTGAGGCAGGCTGATGCTGAGGCAGGCTGAGGCTGAGGCTGAGGCTGATGCAGGCTGAGGCTGAGGCAGGCTGAGGCTGAGGCCGAGGCCGACGGCAGACTGAGGCTGAGGCTGAAGCGGGCTGAGGCTGAGGCAGAGGCAGGCTGAGGCTGAGGCTGAGGCTGAGGCAGGCTGATGCTGAGGCAGGCTGAGGCTGAGGCTGAGGCTGAGGCAGGCTCAGGCTGAGGCAGGCTGAGGCTGAGGCCGAGGCTGCAGGCAGACTGAGGCTGATGCAGGAGCAGGCTGAGGCTGAGGCTGAGGCAGGCTGAAGCTGAGGCTGGGGCTGATGCTGAGGCAGGCTGAGGCTGAGGCTGAGGCTAATGCAGGCCAATGCGACTGTCATCGCGAATGCGACTACGACTGCGAGAACAGCAGAACTCTACAACTGGATTCTCATCTGAATCGTAAGGGGGATGCTTCCAGATATGCTCCTACACATCGCTGTTAGGTTGCTTTGCCGGGATAATTGGAGTGTTCTTTTCTTCGTCCACAATCGGCTTGTAGGGGGACATGCCCGACCTAAGCCAACGGAGGGGGCGGAGGAAGTGGAGGAGGCGGAGGAAGGAGGTGAGACAGGAGGGCAGGTAGGAGGAGAAGGAGGACACCAGTGTCAACCCAAGACGCATCAGCGCTGTTGCAAAAAATACACACCCCCCCTGACACCCGCCCGAGCCTCGATCAATAGCCGGCGGCAGCGGACGGACGGCGGCGGCCGAGCGGCGAGCGCCCGAGCGGCGAGCGCCCGGCGGGCGTGGGACCCGGGCGCCGGACCGTTCCAGAGCGTGCCGCGGAGCGCTTTCGGGGCGCCCCGGGGCGCTCCGAAGGGGCGCTCGGAGAGGCGACCGCGCCGGTTGCGCCGGCGGCCGGTTTCGCCAGCGCCGGTTTCGCCTGGCTGGCGTCGCCGCCCGGCGAAGCCAGCTCCGTCGGCGAGGCCGGCTGCGTCGGCGAAGCCAGCTGCCGTCGGCGAGGCCAGCTGCCGTCGGCGAAACCGGCTGCCGTCGGCGAAACTGCCCGCCCCGACCCGCCCACTGGGGTCCGCCCGCCCGACCCGACCCGCCCGTTAGGGTTCGCGTGTGCTCGGTCGAGCGCGCCCCACACTTCAATGTCCCGCCCGCCCGCCCCGACCCGCCCGTCAGGTTCCGCCCGCCCGACCCCACCCGACCCGCCCGCCAGGGTTTGCCCACCCGACCCGACCCGCCCGTTAGGGTTCGCGTGCGCTGGGTCGAGCGTGCCCCACAATTTTGATGTCCCGCCCGCCCGACCCGACCCGCCCGTCAGGGTTCGCCCGCCCGACCCGACCCGAGCCCACCCGACCCGCCCGCCAGGGTCCGCCCACCCGACCCGACCCGCCCGTTAGGGTTCGCGTGCGCTCGGTCGAGCGTGCCCCACAATTTTCATGTCCCGCCCCCGACCCGACCCGCCCGTTAGGGTTCGCGTGCGCTCGGTCGAGCGTGCCCCACAATTTTCATGTCCCGCCCCCGACCCGACCCGCCCGTCAGGGTTCGCCCGCCCGACCCGACCCGGCCCGCCCGCCAGGGTTTTGCCCAGCCGACCCGACCCGCCCGTTAGGGTTCGCGTGCGCTGGGTCGAGCGTGCCCCACAATTTTGATGTCCCGCCCGCCCGACCCGACCCGCCCGTCAGGGTTCGCCCGCCCGACCCGACCCGACCCGCCCGCCAGGGTCCGCCCACCCGACCCGACCCGCCCGTTAGGGCTCGCGTCGGCGAATCCAGCGCTGGCGAAACCAGCGCCGGCGAAAACAGAAGTTGGCGAAACCAGCGGTGCGAAACCAGCGCCAGCGAAACCAGCGCCAGCGAAACCAGCGCCGACGAAACCAGCCGTCGGCGAAACCAGAGGGACGAAACCAGCGCCGAGAAACCAGCGCCCATGAACTCAGCTCATGCCGCTGCGCCCGACCTGCATCCCTCCAGGACAGTCAGATCTCAGAGATCCCCGAGCCGTCCCGGTCCTGGCCTTGTCCTGTTCTCGCGGGCGACGGCGGCGGGCGGTGGCGGTCACGCGGCGAGCTCTGCTCGATCGAGCCCGGAGCTTCGGCCATCGGTGGATCGAGCCTCGATCGAGGCTCAATGGACCGAGCCTCGATTGATCGATAGGGTTACGTCGGGCATGTCCCTCTACAGGAGGAATATTCCAGAGTAGTAAAAACAGTCTGAAGACGATGTCCGTGCCCCAATGCCGATGCTTGCCTATTTTGTGGCCACTGCTCACTTGTCGTTCAAACGACCCAACGATAATCAAAGAAGAAGAAACACACATAAACACAAACTTGTGGCGCTCCGCGCGGATTCCTTGGATCCGCGCCTGGGCCCCCTGGCGGCGCCTTCGGCGCCGCCACTGGCGCGCTCCGCGCGCCAGGGAGGGGGGTCCAGCGCGGATCCGAGAAATCCGCGCGGAGCGCCAACAGTTTATATTTACGTGGTTTTCCAGGAGGGGAAAAACACACAGACACAATGAATCGTCGATCCCCCAGAAAATATGGGAAAACATGGGAAACCGGGGGGAGGAACAAAAACCCATAACAGAAGGGGAAATATGGGGAATCCTGTCATTTGTGTGTGTGTGTACTTACTTGTGTGTCCCAGGGCCCCTTCAGTTCTTCTCCTTCTGCAAAGGGCGAGCTTCGAGCCTCGAGCCACGCATCGGCTATACGGCGGGCGGCGGCGGCCCCCGCGAGCGGCCGCGGCCCCCTACGGGCGGCCGCGGCGCCTCCCCCGAGAGGTGCTGCCGCTCGGCCTCTGCATCGAGGGCGCCGTGGTGGGCCTGGTGGTGGGCGCCGTCGTGCGGGGCTGCGCGGAGGCCCCGCGCGGCCCCCGCGCGCCGAGACGCCCGCGCGCCGAGACGCCCGCACGCCGCGGGCTGTTCCAGCTCTGCACGTCGGGCGTGTGCCTCTGCAGGCAGGTCAGGCGTGTCCCTCTACAGAGGCCGAGTTTGGGCGAGAAGTACAATATACCCAAACAAACGCAAAATTCATGCTCGACAGTTGTCGACCAATCGTCCGCAGACTTTTTTTAACACTATTTTTGAATATTCCTCCAGCGGAGGGACAGGCCCGAGTTAACCCCAGCGGAGACGCCCGACGCCCCCACGCAGCAAGAGTCCGTTCTGAAGTAGGGCCTGTGTCTCTACAGGAGGAGTATTCAGCAATGGTGATCAAATCGTATGGGGACGATGTTTCGACTGTTCTCTAGCCATCTTTGAGTACGGTTTGGCTATCTTTTATTCTTCCTCTCGAATTCGCCTTTAGGGGGACATTCCCGAACTAAGTCCACTTCGAGGAGGGAGTTTCGAGGATAGTGGTTCCGGGTTATAGGATGTTCCAACCTACTTCAGCCTTGATCACAAGGAAGAGCTTCGGGGGCCAAGAAGGTAACGCGATTGGAGGGTGTTGGCGTGTCGGGTAGTCGTTCGGCACTTCGCCAGCGTGTCGGGCAAACACTGCTTCGACTCTTTTCGGGGTGCTCGAAATCGTTTTCGGAATGTGGTCCTCAAGCACCCCGGGCGCAACAGACGTTCTCTGGCGTGTTCCTCCTCTTTGGGGCCTCGGGGAGGCTCTTCGTCGCTACGGCTGGCTTCGCCTCGAAATTCTGGCCGGAGGGCACCCGGGGACAGGTTCAATCCATCCTCCGTCTCAGATTAAGGCCTCTCCAGAGGGGGGCCCCAGATCTCAGGCGATGAGCTGTTGTGTTCCGCACTGGCGATTTTCCCTCGATCGAACGGCGAGCCCTTCGGCCATCACCACTGGATCTGGGGCGCCAGACTAATGCTGAGTCGGGCCTGTCCCTCTGCAGGAGAAATATTCAATTTCTTTTATTTCTCGGGACGATGTTTTAACTATTTTTGAATAGTTTTGAAGTTGTTTGGCGTATGATATTTTTCGCCCCAAATCCGCCTGTAGGAGGACATGCCCGACCTAAAACTAATGGGTCGGGACCCCTGGGGCCGGTCGGGACCCCTGGGGCCGCCTTCCTGGATCCAGGCTCCCTAGATGGGATCCGAGCAGATGGGGTACAGTCGAGGCGCTGACCTAAGGAACCCTAAATAAGGAACGAGGCCCCTTTTTCCCATCAGCTCAGCCTCGACTTCCTGTGGAAAACCCCAGGCAAACCCGAGGCAGACTTTGAAACAATCAAGGAACACCGAGCCCCTCCCCGACGAAAAGGGTTCCTTCTTCAGCGCCCCGACTGTAGGATGACCGCGCCGCGTCGACGATCCATCGGCGGTGCGGCTCGACGTGGAGCCCAGTCTCCTCTTCGCCGATGGCGCCGCTGCGCCGCCGGCGTTGCCGATGCATCGGAGATGCATTGGCGGCGCGGCGCGATCTTCGGACCCCATCTACAGTCGGGGCCCTTAAGAAGAAACCCTTTTCGTTGGGGAGGGGCTCTGTGTTCCTTACGTGTTTCGCAGCTTGCCTTGGATTGTCCTTAGGTTTTCGATACGAAATCGAAGTTCAACTTATGTAAAATAGGTGCCTCGTTCCTTATTTAGGGTTCCTTAGGTCAACGCCTCGACTGTACTGCTTCAGGACGTAGGATGACAAAGCGGGCGAGGAAGATGACGAGGACCGCAAGCAACGCGACAATGATGGCGGAGACGACGCGGACCAGCACGGGGACTAGGGCACTCATCCGGACGAGGGCGAGAACGACGGTGAGGAGGAAGACGAGAAGAAGGACGAGCACAGGCAAAATGGGGCGGATGGGCACGAGAACGGGGACAACGATGCTGGCTAGGAGGACGATGAAGACGAGAACGAGGGCGAATGCTGGGGCATGATGGAGCGGCACTGCGCTGTTCACCGCGCGGCGGCGCCCGCGTGCGCATTCGTTCTCCCAGAGGCGTCACATGCATGCCACGCGCGTCGGCCAGGCAGTAATCGCTCTCTAAACGTGTCCAGGGGAAGCGTTCCCCTGCGCCTCGACGCTCGCGTGTGCCCCAAGCTGATAGCATGGCCGGCCCGACTCGGCGCCTCGGCGCTCGTCCGAGGGTCGCTGCGTGCATGCAGCACGCGCCGCCCCACGCGGCGTGGCTGCAATCCTCCGCCAGGTCCGCCCACGGTGGAGCGGCCACACAATGACGTGAACATAAACGTTCGGAGGTCCGGGCGGAGTTCTCGGATCGGTCCGCCTGGATTTCTCGCATTGCCGCCCTCCCTGGCGCCCGCTGAGCGCGCCAGGGGCGGGGCCGCAGGCGCCGCCAGGGGGTTCCGGCGCCGATCCCAGAAGTTCGCGCAGACCGCCGAAAGTGTGCGCTTCTGCCACCGCTTGCTATACCCGAACCGAGGCCTATACGAGGCCCCGAGGCCGTGCGGTGGCGCACCGCGCGGGGAGGCACCGTTGAGGCTTCCGATGCCGCCGCGCGGCCTCGGGCCTCGGGGCCCCCAGCTGTGCCCGCGGCGGCGCAGCTCTGGGCCCGCGGGGTCCGAGCAGATGGGCTCGCAGGGTCGGGCCGCGCCGCGCCGCCGATGCGCCGGCGACGCGGCTCGATGCGGGGCCCGGTGTTCTGCCACGGCGACGGCGGCGACGCGTCGCCGACGCAGCGCCGGTGCATCGGCGCTGCATCGCCGAGGCGGCGGCGATGCTCTCAAGATGCGACCCGGCCCTCCCCGCCAGCCCGCCGCGCCGCGCTGCGCCGGGCTGCTGCTGCGGCTGCTGGCTGGCTGCTGCGCCGCGGAGGGGCCGGCGGCGGGGCCGCCGGGGCGCCCGGCGGCGGCGGCGGGGCGTGTGCTCGGGGCGATCGAGAGCTGCAAAGCGTGAGTTGCCTACCCCGCCTTTCGCTTCCAGACAAAACCAAGTCATACCATACGCCTCCTCGTCGTCAAGCGGCCTGACCAGTACATGCCTTAGGTTGGCATCGCTCGGTATCTCTTGGAAGCGAGGGTGGTCAAAAGCGAGGTAGGTTTGTTTGCCCCCTTGCAAGGATGGGTGCCACGACGGGCAGCAGTTCGGGGGCGGCAGCGAGGGGGGTGGTGAGTATAGGGGTGGGCGGATACCCCACGGCTTGGGCCAGGATGTTTCCTCAGATTTCACGGCGCCTCCTCTCATCTCACTACGTCCCTGGACCCCCCCCCCCTGGGCCGCGCACGTGCCGCCCGCCATGATTTGCGCCGCCCCCCTCCCTGGACGCCCCCTTCGTGGCCGCCCCCGAGCAGTGCCTGCTCCTCCTGTGGGGCAGGACTCGCTGTCGGCGTCGCCGCGGAGGTTGCCCACCCGAGGCGGAGGGCCGCCTGCCGAGCATTACGTCGGGCCTGTCTCTGCAGGAGGAAAGTTCAAAACTAGTCAGAAAATCATATAAGACCACTTTTTATTATTTTGGGTGTATTTTTGCGGGTATTTCTCAGTTGTCGTCCAAAAGTCCGCCTGTAGGAGGATATGCCCGACCCAACCGTACCCACAGCGGGCGTCTGATGCGTGCGGCGGGCGACCGCGGGCGAGCGTGGCCCGTGGCGGCGTGTGCGCCCGCGCTCGCGGAGAGAACGCCCGCCAAGCGTCCCCCGCCAGACTCGGGGCTCCCTGTGGCTGCGCAGGGGGCGGAGGGGGGCAGGGGCAGGGGGGGGAGGTGGGAGGCAAGGAGAGCGGGGGGGGCCAGGGGGGGAGGAACGGAGGGGGGCGGACAGGAGAGGGGGGGAGAAGCAGGAGGAGGATGAGGAGGAGGAGGAAGGAGGAGAAGGAGGATGGTCAGTATCGTTTCTCCGACCCCTGCCCCCCTCACCATCACCATCCAGACCCCCACCATGTCCGCACCCCAGTTGGGGATATACCCTTCGAAGCCCGAACGGAACAGCCATTATCCCCATATATCGGGTAAATCGGCCGGTGGGTCCCAGGCCACGCCCATGGGGGAGGGGGTCGGTTACACGGTGCTCAGAGGGAAAGGAGGAGGAGGAGGAGGAGGAGGAGGAGGAGGAGGAGCAGGAGGAGCAGGAGGAGCAGGAGGAGGAGGGAGGAGGAGGAGGAGCAGGAGGAGCAGGAGGAAGAGGAAGAGGAGGAGGAGGAGGAGGAGGAGGAGGAGGAGGAGGATTAGAGCTGGTCAGACGGTGGGCAATGCCCCATAAATTGGCTGCCGCGGGTCCCCTGGCCACTTCGGGCCGTCCCCGAGTCAAAACCAGGAAACCTGCGCATGGCCCAGGAGGTGACCTCACATGGGCCTGTTCGTGGTGGGGTGGACACCTGGCCACAGACGATTCAGCCTGCCCCTGATCGCCTCTGTTGACCCAAGGGTGACGTCGGGAAGGCAGGCCCGTCCACCTGCCACGGGCGCACTGCCCTGGCACACCTGCTGCAGAGCCCATGCTTGCGGCGGAGCGCTGGCTTGTGCCCCGCCTCTCGTGCTCTGTCGACCCTGACGGCCCCCCAATCCAGAGCAGCCCGAGCGGGGAGGGTGCCCGTACAGTTAAGTCGGGCCTGTCCCTCTACAGGGGGAATATCCAAGAATAGTAGTAAACACTAGTCTGGGGACGATGCGTTGGGAATTGTTTGTTTACCTTTTTATAACATGTCTCGAACATGTTTGATCTGTCGTCGGAAATCTGCCTGTAGGGGGACGTGCCCGACTCAACCGTAGGGGGTGGAGGGGGGGGGGCACGGGGGCCCTCGCTTCCTCACCGCCAGGCGTCCCAGGGAGAGGTCCAGGGGCCCCAGGGCGGGTTCGATCGGGAGGTTTCGGCTCCTCGACGGGACTCGGGCCCAGCTCACAGTGTCGATTCTGTCTCGGCCTAGGACTCCTACACAGGCTGCGAATTTGAGAACGTCACGAACGAGCTACTATTTCTGAATACAGGCTGCTCTGCACCACACGAGATGGGTATGATACACGGCCCCTTGATTAGCGAATGTATTTGCACAACGATTGACCTCCCAACGCTCACGACCGATGCTGTCTCGTCGCATGGGACTTCACGTTGCATAGTGTCACTGTGCGCGGGCCTGCACCGCCGAGCTCGGCGATGGCAGCCCAGATCTGGTCCCACAAGTCTTGGTGCTTGCGGTACTTTCTGTCCATATGGTCGGCCCTTTGGCGATGCCGTCCAGCACGTTCTGGCAATCGGTAAAGATGCGGATTGGCGGTGTTGTGCATGCCTTAGTGCTTGCAGCACGCCGTACAGCTCTCCTCTCATGATGCGTTGCGTCCACTGGGGCCCTGGCAACGGCCCGTAGCACGCGCACACCACCTCGTAGGTGTCGTCGATGCTGACGAAGCTCCAGCCCCCGCGCCTCAGCGGGCTGTAGTCGCCGAACTGGAGCGATCCGTCGGCATAGCTGCCCCCCATGGTTCGGCCCACCCAGTCGCCCTCCGTGAGGAACTCGTCGCAAGATGGTAGGTGCCACAGGTTGAGCTCCTCGGCGGGGTCGCCCCCCGTAGGACCCTCCGTTCGTGCGATTACAACCGGAGGTTTTTGATTTCAACAAAGATCATCACATTGAATTGCCCACATGCAAAATCAATGTAAAGCATATGTTGAAATTATTATAGGCTGCATTCACTCGATGTCATGTTGTAGGCTGCAGCCACTTGCCACTCCTCGTGCGTGCGAGCGGGGGCGGCGGTCTGTTGAGGGGACCAGGGAGGGAGCACCACTGACAAGAATGGCCACTTCTTACCAGCCTCGAACGTATCCCTATCCCTAATATTGACACGCCAAAAGGCGATGGCAATCCTAGGGATCCGCCCTCAAAAAATAAGGGAATCCCTAAGATTGGCATCGTGACGAGGAGATGCCCAGCATAGGGATAGGGATGTGTTCCAGGCTGGTAAACTTCAGTCTTCGGGGAAGGAGCGGCAGCCCTACCGTGGGCCGCCGAGTGCCAGCTGTTCTGTCTCTCGCACCTTACGCAGTAGGCCTGCGTTCACTTTGCACATCAGGCCAGCCTCATGCGCGCCGCCAGCCTACACCGTACCATCACGACTGGACAGACGCGAGTGGAATGCCACACTGTCGGCCAGCACCAAGGAGAGTGCCAGCCTCGGCTTCGGTTCCACAGCAGCAACCATGCACCATCACTTTATCAGTTCGTTGCGTCACAGCCTGCCGCTCTCAGGCTGGCCAGCATGATAGTGCCAGCTTGCACGTGCAGCGTATGTGTGCGTAGACGGTTGCCTTACTTGGGCGGTGGCGGAGTATATATATATATATATATATATATATATATTCGGATGGTGCATGGGGAACACTTTACCCGACAGCAGCCTCTTTAGTTGCACAGAGGAGTATAGAGACACGACTTGCCTCAGTTGTTGCACCAGCGCTGCCGCCTGCAACTGTAGCTAGACTCCTACTCATCAGTACTTCTCCTCCTGACCCGGTGTATCTGGTATAGTGTTTTCTGTTTGATTGTACCCCCTCCCCGCCGTGTTTTGCCGCGGACTAGGTTACTCCCGCCCCGTCGGGCCAGTTTTTTTCTCGTTTCTCATAACTTCACCAGTCCGCGGCAAAACTTAACTTGGCCTTTCCGCTACAGTCGGCGCCTTCGATGTTCTCTTTCGAGAGACGCAGCAAGCCTGGCCTCAATGCCCGCCGAACGTCACAAAGGAGGAGGAGGAGGAAGAGGAGGAGGAGGAGGCAGAGGAGGAGGAGGAGGAAGAAGGATGAGCAGCAGGAGGATCACCCTCCCCCCCCGAGGCGCGCAAGCCGCGCGGGCACGCGGCGGTCTCGGCGCAGGCGCGCCGGGACGAGGAGCTCGGCGAGGCGGAGAAGGCCCCCCCGCCGACTCAGGGCCGAGAGGCTCACCGAGCGCGCCCCGCTGCTCGCAGAGTGCCTGCGCGCAGACGTCCGAAGAGAGCACGTGTCTGCTTCGACGTGATCAAGGGCGCCTTCGAGGGCGCGAAATTACTCGCGCTTCGCGGTTCGGCACCGATTTCTCCTCCTCCTCCTCCTCCTCCTCTTCTTCCTCCTCCATCTCCTCCTCCTCCTCCTCCTCTTCCCCCCTGGGAGGCGGCGCGAGAGCGCGAAGTTATTCGCACGTCGCGCTTCGCGCAGCGCGAAGCGCGAAGTTGGGAGCCCTTACGACGTAATTTATCGCAGATCCGCCGTGGCGGATCCGGGCTATTTGCGAGTAGTAACTCTGCGAGTCGTGGAGCGCGCTCGTCTTAAAGAGGAGGAGGAGGTCGATGAGGATTTGCGTATCGGACTCGGGCCGCGTTCACACCCCGGCGTGGACGAACAACCGCCCCGCTGGGCCTACGGCAGCCACGCCACGGCTGCCGGACGTCACCGCGTTGCGGTCCGTTCGACGAATCTGGGGCCATCAGGAATTAGGAGGGGGAGGAGGAGGAGGAGGAGGAGGAGGAGGAGGAGGAGGAGGAGGAGGAGGACGAGGAGGACGAGGAGGACGAGGACGAGACGAGGACGAGGGGCGGGGACTGAGGACGAGGAGGAGGAGGAGGAGGAGGAGGAGGAGGAGGGAGGAGGAGGAGAGGAGGAGGAGGAGGAGGAAAGGGAGGGATACCTGATGCCATCAGCGTCCAGTGCCCAGGAGGAGGAGGCGGAGGAGGAGGAGGAGGAGGAGCACGAGGAGCACGAAGAGCACGAGGAGGAGGAGGAAGAGGAAGAGGTAGAGGTAGAGGAGGAGGAGGAGGAGGACGGAGGCACCCAGACATGCTTGCGTCGTGGCGAAAATCACGACGGGCATTTTTTGTGCGCCGCTGGCGGCTCCCAGGGGCCTTCGCCAGGCTCAGTGACTCTCAGAAAACGATTCGGGAAGCGGTCGGGATTTCCATAGACCCCGTATTGGACAATCAAGGCTTCTGATGTTTGAGGGAGGAGGGGGAGGGGGAAGAGGAGGAGGAGGAGGAGGAGGAGGAGGAGGTAGGAGGAGGAGGAGGGGAGGAGGAGGACGAGGAGGAGGAGGGGGTAGGAGGAGGAGGAAGAGGAAAGGAGGAGAAGGAGGAGGAGGAGGAATAAGGAGTGAGAAGGAGGAGGAGGAGGAGGGCGACGGGAAGAGGAGGAAGAGGTGGAGGAAGAAGAGAGGCGGCGGAGGAGGAGGAGGAGGAGAAGGAGGACTGAGAATGAGAGGAGGAGGAACACACGAGGAGGAGGAGGAGGACGGTGGAAGAGGAGGAGGGGAGGAGGAGGAGGAGGAATGAGAAATGAGGTGGAGGAGGAGTCGAGGAGGAGGAGGAGAGGAGGAGGAGGAGGAGGGGGAGGAGGAGCACGAGGGAGAGGAGGTGGAGGACCAGCAGCAGCAGCAGGAAGAGGAGGAGGAGGATGAGGAGGAGGAGGGAGGAGGGACGGGGCGTGCAACCTGGAGCGCCTGCGTGGACTTTGCCACCTCATCGAGGCGGTCACCCCGTCGCCCAACTCCTGACACCACGGGGCTCGTTCCGCTCTGTCCGGTCCGATCCGGGACCGATGTCTGGCTAGCCTGGTCCAGTTCGTGTTCGACGATTTCCTGGCGATCCGCGTGCACCGCAGTCGCGTATTTCAGCGCAGCCCGGCCGCCGTGCGGCCCGGCCCGCCGTGAAATCGGATCCGATCTGGTCTCCGCGGTTCGCCCCCCGCGCATCGGGGACGTGGACTCGCCCCGGAGCTGGTTCGGCGGGCCGTGGAGTGGCGCCCCGACGACCCAACACAAATTGTGGTCGCGGCGACTCGGGACCAAGACGCGGCCAGGGCGACCGAGGGACGCTGCGGGGCGCGATTGGGCACAGCGGGAGAAGGAAAGGCGCGGAGGGGGGAGGTCACCGCCCACCAAACCACCCCAACCCCGAAGGCCACGATTTGCCCTCCATTTCCAGTGGGGGGGGGTCGGGAAACATCCAAAAAACACATATGCGGCCCGTACCCCCCCCGACCCGAAAGTCGGGTCTTCGGGCTGGGTTGGGGTGGTCTGGTAGGTAGTCAGGAGGAAGCAGCGGGCGGCGATCATGAAGACCCAGACGCATCCGGCGCCTTGAACAAATCAAGGCGGAGTTTTGTTGGCAAGTCAACCGAGGCCGGGAAGCGGCCTCCATCAGCATCGCATGGCGGATCCTCGTCCCCGCTGGGCCGCGGCATCCTGGCCCCACCGTCCCGCCCTCCGAGTTGGGGTCATGCCTGGCGAACCCCCGGAGGGAAGCGGCATTGGAGGCGAGGGGGGGAGGTCGCAGCGAAACGCAGAGCGCGCCCCACCAGGAGGTCGGTTTCGGTTTCGGTTTCGTGTTCGTGGCGTGCGCGCGTGCGGGCGAGGCGAAGCTGCGCGGGTGCGCGAGAGGACTGAAGCTTCCTCCTGGCCAGGGCGCGGCCAGGACAGATGTCCGCCCCGCCCTGGTCGCCTGGCGGGCGGTGGCCGTAGAGTGTCCCGCCGTGGCGTCCCGATGGTGTCCCGCGGTGTCCCGTGGTGGCCCGTAGTGTCCCGTAGCACGGTGTCCGGTGGTGCCCCATGGTGTCTTCTGAGGCCGGTAGCGAGATCTATCATGAAATTTGTAGTGAGTTCCATTGTGGGACAGATTGTGGGATCTCTTGTTGGATGGGCTGTCAAATCGACAGCGAGGGCGATAGTGAGATCGATCGAGCGATACCGATTGTGAGAGATCGATCGTGATATTGATAGTGAGATCGATTGTGAGATCGATGATGAAAGCGATAGTGGCATCCATTGTGAGATCGATAGTAAGATCGATAGCCGGATAGATGGTGATATCGATAGTGAGATCGATAGTAAGTTTGATTGTAAGAGCGATCGTAAGATGGATTGTGAGATCGATAGTGTAAGGGATGGTGAGATCGAGTGCGATATCGATAGTGGGATCGATGAATCGATCGAGTGAGATTGCTAGTTAGATCGATAGCGAGATCGGCAGTGAGATCGATTGTGATATGTATTGAGTGAGACGTTCGTTTCTTCCCCCGAAGCTCCTTATTGCCCGAAGGGTGGCCGTATATTGTATAGGTAGCATATGCATATGTGTATGGTATGTATAGATATACACATATGCATCAGTTTGTGTGTATACATATATACATATTTGTATACACATAGACATATATATATTTAGATATACATATGTGTGCACATGTGTTCATCTCCATCTGGGGGGGGGTACATCGGCCAGTGGGACCAGGGCCGCGCCAGTGGGGAGAGGCATCGGCGAAACGATGCCACACACGCAGCGCGCCAACACACCGCCGAACACTGAAAGCCCTCCCCGCCGTGCTCTGCCCCCGCACGCGCGAGGGGGCCATCGGGCACCCCACCGCCCTCCCCGCGGCCGCCGCCGCCGGCCGCCCCCCCCACCCCGCGGGAGGCGGCGAGGCCGCCGCCCAGCCCGGGGAGCTCCCCGAGCGGCTCCCGGGGCCACGCGGCGCAGGCCGCCCTGCCGCCGCCGCCGCCGTGGAGGGTCGAGGATCGAGGCTCCGGCCTCGGCCTCTCGACCCCCTCGACCCCTCGGCCTCTCTCGGTCCCTCGACCCCTCGACCCCTCGACCGTCTTCGCGGGGGTCGGGGGTCGGGGGTCGGCGGCGGAGGGCCGTCGCGGGTCGGCGGTGGAGGGTCGGGGGTCGAGGGTCGAGGGTCGTGGGTCGAGGGCAGAGGTTCGAGCGTCGAGCGTCGAGGGTCGAGCGTCGAGGGTCGAGGGTCGAGCGTCGAGGTTCGAGCGTCGAGGGTCGAGGGTCGAGGGTCGAGGGTCGAGGGTCGAACACTGCTGGTCGAGGGTCGAAGGTTGAAACGTTGCCCCGCAGGTTGGGCCTCTGGGAGCCGCCGTTTGCGGGCCCAGGGGCGATCGAAGATGAGCGCGTCGGGAGCCTCGAGACGGGGGTCAATGCAAACGGGGGTCAGCCAGAGCGCCCGAGCTTGCAGGATCCTGCAGGGCCAGGGGTCGCATTGACCCGGGCTTGGGCGCAGGATCCTGCAGGATCGTGCGGGGTCCCTCGTTCTGACCCGGGTTTTGGGCGCAGGATCTTGCAGGATCTCGCCGGATTCCGCAAGGCCTGACTGACCCGGGTCCGTCGATCCCTGAGCGCGAGGGGGAAGTGCCCCCCCGCTTCCCTCCCCACGCGCCCCAGGGGAAGCGTAGACTTCAGGAGGGGAAAAAACACACAGACACAATTAATCGTCGACTCCCAGGAAAATATGGGAAAATATGGGAATTGGGGGGGAAGACAAAAATATGGGAAAATATGGGGAATCCTGTTAGTTGTGTGTATTTATTTGTGTGTCCCAGGGCCCCTTCAAGACTCTCGGTGTCGTCGTCGTCCGTCGAGGATCGCGGGTCGAGGTGTCCTTACGCACGTCCTTGCGCCTCCCTCCGCGTCCCTCTCGGGGAGGGGGCTTCGTCGCTACGGCCAAATCCGCCCCGGGGTTCTGGCCAGAACTCATTCCACGAGGGGTCTCATGATATGTTTGTCCTGTTCGTCGTCGACGTCGTCTCCTCGTTCTTTTCCCGTCAACGTCAAGATCGTCGTCGTCGTCATTCTCTCCGTTCCGCGTCCCTTCCCTCCCCATCCTTCAGCTCCGTTCCTTTGCTCCTCCCATTTCCCCATCAGGTTCCCTCCCTCTCTCTATCTCTGTGTCTACCTGCCTGTCTGCCCGTCTGCCTGTCTGCCTGCCTGCCTGTCTGCCTGTCTGTCCGTCTGCCTGTCTGTCTGTCTCTCTCTCTCTCTCTCTTTCTCTTTGTCTGTCTCTCTATGTGTGTGCCTCTCGCCCCCCCTCTCTCTATACAATCACTCAATATGAATACTACTCTCCCTCTTACACAGGATTCCCGGGAGTTGGGTTTTCGCCTGCGTTTTTTTCAAAATGCTGCTCTCGCTGAGGCGCCGGCCTCATTTCTGCTCCCGAATCGTTCCGAATCGTGCTCCCGCTGCAGCGTAGGCCTCATTTTCGGATCGGTGTTTGGCCTCCGTCGTTCAGGATGGCGTTCTCGCCCCAGCGCGGGCCTCTTTCTCGCGCGCCCATCCGCCCGCCACCACCGCGCCGCACCACGCCCCGCCCCGCCGCACGCACACCCACCGCCACTTCCACCACCAACGCACGCACGCGCGCACGCGCACCACCACCGCGCACCGCCACCACCACCGCACTACCCCACCCACCACCACCACGCTACACCGCGTCACACCACATCACACGCGCGCACACACAGACACGCACGCACGCACGCACGCACGCGCACACACACACACACACACACACACACACACACACACACACACACACACACACACACACACACACACACACACACACACACACACGCACACACACACACACGCACACACACACAGACACACACACCTCCACCGCCACCACCACCGCCGCCATCACGCACGTACGCACCTGGCCCACCACCAAACCACCAAGACGCCACACCACGTCACACCACAGCACACGCGCACACACGCACACACACACACACATACACACCACCACCACCACCACAACAACCACAACCACGCACACACGCACGCACGCACGCGCACCACTACCCACTACGCACACGCGCGCGGAGCCACAGGTCCGCTACGACACGCGTCCGCGGATAGAGAAAATCAGCGCCATGGTAAGGGATGGGAGGGAGGGGTAGGATGTCAGATGTAGACGCGAGCGCACCTAACTTGACGTACCTCCTCTCTCTCTTTCCTTCTCGGTCGCCCACCTGGGCGCGACGCTTGCCGCGCTTCGCGGCCTGGGCCAGAGAGGCCGCGTGAGCGCGAGAACGCAATCGCGTTTCGCGCAGCGCGAAGTCCCAAGCCAGGTGACTTACTCCCGTTTGCAACAGCACTGTACGTCCTCGTGCCCCCCCCGAACCCACCGCACCCCCCTCCAAACAAGAAAAACGAGGGCACCTCCCCCGGTCCACGGATTTGGCGACCGCGCGCCAAATCCACGGATCGCTGATCCATGCTTGCGCGCCCCCGAAGGGAGAGGGGTCCTGAGGTCTTCCCCGACAGCGTCCAGGGCGTCACCAGCACGCGACTGCAGCGACTCTTTCCTTCTGCTGTGCGGGGGCTGTGCCGATTTCCCC